AACAAAAAACAAATCCAGAACGTTGTGGGAAACGGCGTTCTTAGCCAGAACTATTGCAGATGACAACAACAACATCCAGAACGTTGTGGGACACGGCGTTCTTTAGCCAGAAGTGTTGCAAACTGACAACAACAACATCCAGAACGTTGTGGGAGACGGCGTTCTTTAGCCAGAAGTATTGCAAAACTGACAACAACAACATCCAGAACGTGTGGGGACACGGCGTTCTTTAGCCAGAAGTCAGTATTGCAAACTGACAACAACAACATCCAGAACGTTGTGGGGACACGGCGTTCTTTAGCCAGAAGTATTGCAAACTGACAACAACAACATCCAGAACGTTGTGGGAGACGGCGTTCTTTAGCCAGAAGTATTGCAAACTGACAACAACAACATCCAGAACGTTGTGGGGACACGGCGTTCTTTAGCCAGAAGTCAGTATTGCAAACTGACAACAACAACATCCAGAACGTTGTGGGACACGGCGTTCTTTAGCCAGAAGTCAGTATTGCAAACTGACAACAACAACATCCAGAACGTTGTGGGACACGGCGTTCTTTAGCCAGAAGTCAGTATTGCAAACTGACAACAACAACATCCAGAACGTTGTGGGGACACGGCGTTCTTTAGCCAGAAGTATTGCAAACTGACAACAACAACATCCAGAACGTTGTGGGGACACGGCGTTCTTTAGCCAGAAGTATTGCAAACTTACAACAACAACATCCAGAACGTTGTGGGGACACGGCGTTCTTTAGCCAGAAGTATTGCAAACTTACAACAACAACATCCAGAACGTTGTGGGAACACGGCGTTCTTTAGCCAGAAGTATTGCAAACTTACAACAACGACATCCAGAACGTTGTGGGACACGGCGTTCTTTAGCCAGAAGTCAGTATTGCAAACTGACAACAACAACATCCAGAACGTTGTGGGGACACGGCGTTCTTTAGCCAGAAGTCAGTATTGCAAACTGACAACAACAACATCCAGAACGTTGTGGGACACGGCGTTCTTTAGCCAGAAGTCAGTATTGCAAACTGACAACAACAACATCCAGAACGTTGTGGGGACACGGCGTTCTTTAGCCAGAAGTCAGTATTGCAAACTGACAACAACAACATCCAGAACGTTGTGGGAAACGACGTTCTTTAGCCAGAAGTCAGTATTGCAAACTGACAACAACAACATCCAGAACGTTGTAGGAAACGACGTTCTTTAGCCAGAAGTCAGTATTGCAAACTGACAACAACAACAACATCCAGAACGTTGTGGGGACACGGCGTTCTTTAGCCAGAAGGAGAAACAAAGCTCCGCAACACAACTCGGTGGTTCTTGATTGGATGACATACAGAAATGGGTCAACAGACTTACAGAGAAGGGGTAGGAGGAGATGGGAGTGACTGTACAAGGGCAGGTTGGGTTCGGTCAGTGACATTGATGAGAAGTTTTAGTTCCGTTCGTTTTTGGGGATTGCGAGGTGAAGTCAGGGTGTCCTAGCGTTTGAAAAAGCATGGATAAGTGAAAGAGTATGGATATTCATAGTTTCTGTAGCAGGCTGACCAAATACGCATCTGCTCTGTCACCTGGTAAGAATCATTTCTCTTCCTTCTTCTTGTTTACTTCCTGCTTCTACAAGACCGACGTGCAGTTATAGATTTGTGCTTTACTGTGATCCGCCACAGCAAGTGCCAATCCTTGCTTTCTTGGCTCTTGTTTCTCTTTGGAGGTGTGCTAACGGGTGGTCAGTCTGTCCTTTAATTGTCCTAGACACCGACATAGTCAGGATAAGATAGCAATGTATCAGGATAAACAACTCACTGGTTTTGCTGAGTGCTCTGAAGTCTGCCTGTCCTGAATCAAAAGCCTTGACCACGCCCAAGTCTTTCAGAACTGAACTCAGTTCATACGTGGATTCCACTTGAAACCTGGGAACTCTGAACTCAACATACTCTTCTGTGAGGTCTTCAAACAGTTCTTTGGAGTTGTTGCCTGTTGTTAAAGATTTCCCTACAAAGGAGACAATGATATGCTGTTAGTCAGCTGAGTAGAAACTTAACGACAATAATCAAAGTATATCTGCATGATTTTATAAAATACAAATTCCCTTAGAGAGGTCATGCCAGGCACATATTTTATGAAACTGTCTTGGGGGATGAAATCATGCGCATACTTAATCAAACCATCTTGTGCGACGGAGTCTCGTACGTATTTAGTCAAGCCATCTTGTGCGACGGAGTCTCGTACGTATTTAGTCAAGCCATCTTTGGAGATGGAGTCACATACATATTTAGTCAAGCCATCTTTGGAGATGGAGTCACATACATATTTAGTCAAGCCATCTTTGGAGATGGAGTCACATACATATTTAGTCAAGCCATCTTTGGAGATGGAGTCACATACGTATTTAGTCAAGCCATCTTTGGAGATGGAGTCACATACATATTTAGTCAAGCCATCTTTGGAGATGGAGTCACATACATATTTAGTCAAGCCATCTTTGGAGATGGAGTCACATACATATTTAGTCAAGCCATCTTTGGAGATGGAGTCACATACATATTTAGTCAAGCCATCTTTGGAGATGGAGTCACATACGTATTTAGTCAAGCCATCTTTGGAGATGGAGTCACATACATATTTAGTCAAGCCATCTTTGGAGATGGAGTCACATACATATTTAGTCAAGCCATCTTTGGAGATGGAGTCACATACGTATTTAGTCAAGCCATCTTGGGAGATGGAGTCACATACATATTTAGTCAAGCCATCTTTGGAGGTGGAGTCACATACATATTTAGTCAAGCCATCTTTGGAGATGGAGTCACATACATATTTAGTCAAGCCATCTTTGGAGATGGAGTCACATACATATTTAGTCAAGCCATCTTTGGAGATGGAGTCACATACATATTTAGTCAAACCATATTAGGCGATGGAGTCACATACATATTTAGTCAAACCATATTAGGCGATGGAGTCACATACATATTTAGTCAAATCATCTTGGACGATGAAGTCCAGCACAGTATTAGTGAGCCACATATGGAAAGGTACAGTCGTGAGTATATTTCATAAGAAAATTAAACATATTTGAAAGTAGGACAGAGAGAGGGATGGAGTTTAAAAAAAAAAAACATGTCAAATGAAGCGTAAGGAAATTCTTAGGTGTCTAAACAAATTACATCTAGCTACAAATGTATAATAGTTTGAGAGAAAAAAAAAATTGTGGAATAGGAAATGCATAGAGGTTTAAATTGAACATCAAACAATGCCAGGGATAGATCGTATCAGTTAAGCCTCATACACAAATTTCAATAATTCTGTTTCCATGCCAACGGTAGACAGCTTTCAGCGCCATGACAGTTGGCTCAGTTTGAGGTTTGATCAACGGACCAACATCATGTCACGCGGGTAGTAACCCATGAGTGATCCGCTCTTCTTCTAACTCAAGTCGGAGTCCGAAGAAGCTCAGCACAGTGCACAGGCTTTGTAGCTCTGTAAAATACTTTGGGTAGATTTGTAACTCCATAATTTGCTCAGAAAGCGCTGTTAGGCTACTCTTTTCGATTTCTAACTGTCAACGGATTTTTATGTGCGACACAGTGCTCACGGGCGTCGTTTGTTTCTTTGTTTTAGTATCCAGAAACCATGAGTTGTTAACCCTCAGGCTCGGTATTATGGATATCGCAACCTTTCGGCCTTGATTCCATTGTAAATACCGTAAATCTGGGAGAAATGTGGCTTTTCTGCCTACCCCCGTGAGTGAACCCGGACCACAAGGAGTTCGTCACCCGCTTACCGCGAAATCCGGTTTAGCCAACTACGCTAGAGAGACGGGCCTTCACGGCCGTCCGATCTCACTAGCCAGAGACCAGGGGAAATTACTTGAAGTCCAGGTCCACGTAACAAAATCTCAACTCTTACCGGGGATTAAACCCAGAACCTCTAGCACTCGAGGCGGACACTATGCCTCGAGACCAGGCAGCCCCCCCCCCCTCCCCCCACAGGTGGCTAATTGGTTCCATGCACAGAATGCTTTGAGAAATTGCTAAACATCAAGTTGCAATAAAAGACCCCAGATACTGTTGTCCTGGGCACGACTGGTTTACAAGGAGTCCACACAGCCCCGAGACAACCCTGACCCCGCTGACCCAGCTACGTTAAGTCAGCGCATGCCCAAATATCGTCTACAGTAACAGCAGCCAACTGTGTAGTTAGATGCTTTTGTAACCCACAACATGGAGATAATGTATATGATAGAACTTTGTGTGAAAAGGTAGCACACAACATGGAGATAATGTATATGATAGAACTTTGTGTGAAAAGGTAGCACACAACATGGAGATAATGTATATGATAGAACTTTGTGTGAAAAGGTAGCACACAACATGGAGATAATGTATATGATAGAACTTTGTGTGAAAAGGTAGCCCACAACATGGAGATAATGTATATGATAGAACTTTGTGTGAAAAGGTAGCACACAACATGGAGATAATGTATATGATAGAACTTTGTGTGAAAAGGTAGCACACAACATGGAGAGAATGTATATGATAGAACTTTGTGTGAAAAGGTAACCCACAACATGGAGATAATGTATATGATAGAACTTTGTGTGAAAAGGTAGCACACAACATGGAGATAATGTATATGATAGAACTTTGTGTGAAAAGGTAGCCCACAATACGGAGATAATTTATATGATAGAACTTTGTGTGAAAAGGTAGCACACAACATGGAGATAATGTATATGATAGAACTTTTGTGTGAAAAGGTAGCACACTGTAGTGAGTCTCATTTTCTCCCAGTTAATTTATGCCCGACAGATGACGTCAGTAATAAATGTGAGTGGAATATTTTGACTCTAACTGGGACGGCACGGGAATTGTTGACTCTGAACTTTACGGGAGTTATAGAAAAATTCTGATAGTCAAACTTTGCGTGAAGTAGAATTATTCACGTGAAGAGAAATGTTGTCTGTCAAACTTCATGCGAAGTACGATGAATCACGTGCCACACACAACTGCAGGAAAAATATATAATGCCGTAGAAAGGGCTGAGGAAGAGTCTCGTTTGGGCCCAGGAACAGAGTGCATGGACAACGGTGGAAGATGTGTGGATTCAACATGTGTTGAGTGAATTTGTTCCAACGTCCAACTTGGCAAAAAAGCTGGCAGGCAATATGTCTGCGGGCCGTGTTAGTTTTTCTGTCAGGACAGCTGTTGTATTTTCGTTGATTATGTTAGTGTAGGACGATTGTGATTTCGGACAGAAGGTAATAGTTGATACTTTTGATATTTGAGTTATAATGTGTGCCTGGACAGTAGTCTATTTCATGTGCCGGCTGTGTAAGCCGCGAGTGGAAGATTAAAGTGCTGGAACAGTATCGTGTTGTTTTTCTAGTCGTTCATTTGCTGCTCGTCGTGTGATGTCGGTATGTGAGATAGCAAGCGTGCGATGATGCGAGCCAGATAGAAGATAAAAGAAAGTCATCGCAAACACAACATGGAGATAATGTATATGATAGAACTTTGTATGAAAAGGTAGCACACAACACCGAGATAATGTATATGATAGAACTTTGTGTGAAAAGGTAGCCCACAATACAGAGATAATGTATATGATAGAACTTTGTGTGAAAAACCCTCATATCTCTGGTGAGGGAAACCTCTGGGTCAGAATGGGACACCAAGCCTTCTGTACCACGATAGACTACGAGTGATATGATTTACTGTTCTCATCAGCAATGATACATATAGATATGTTTCTGACAACAACGCCAGTCTGAGTTTACCTAATTCAGCCAGCGGGGTGCCATACTTAGGCACGAGAAAATACATAGAATATCTGTCTCCAGTGCAGGGCAGTTCGACCATGTCCGCTCCATAGAAGTTGTACTTGGTTCTTACTTTTCTGAAGCTATCGTACAACATGTCAATCTAAAAAAATATATATATATATATAAGGAAACACAAAACTGTTGTTAAGATTCTGTAGTTATCCAACAACATGTGAGTCAAAACAAATATACATGAAAACACAAAACTGTCAAGATTTTGTAGAGAAAGGACAAACACAATCAGAAAGTTGTAATTTAGAGTTTTGAAACAATTTAAAACTGAACTTTATGCAAATTCGTTGATCTTTGAAATTTGCATTGCTGAATATTTCAATAACATCCATATAAACGACACAAGCTTAAGTCACAAGCAAACATTAATAACGACCAGTAAGTACAGCAACAACAAACTACCACAAGCATACATTAATAACGACCAGTAAGTACAGCAACAACAAACTACCACAAGCATACATTAATAACGACCAGTAAGTACAGCAACAACAAACTACCACAAGCATACATTAATAACGACCAGTAAGTACAGCAACAACAAACTACCACAAGCATACATTAATAACGACCAGTAAGTACAGCAACAACAAACTACCACAAGCATACATTAATAACGACCAGTAGGTACAACAACAACAAACTACCACAAGCATACATTAATAACGACCAGTAAGTACAGCAACAACAAACTACCACAAGCATACATTAATAACGACCAGTAAGTACAGCAACAACAAACTACCACAAGCATACATTAATAACGACCAGTAGGTACAGCAACAACAAACTACCACAAGCATACATTAATAACGACCAGTAGGTACATTAACAACAAACTACCACAAGCATACATTAATAACGACCAGTAGGTACAGCAACAACAAACTACCACAAGCATACATTAATAACGACCAGTAGGTACAGCAACAACAAACTACCACAAGCATACATTAATAACGACCAGTAAGTACAGCAACAACAAACTACCACAAGCATACATTAATAACGACCAGTAAGTACAGCAACAACAAACTACCACAAGCATACATTAATAACGACCAGTAGGTACAGCAACAACAAACTACCACAAGCATACATTAATAACGACCAGTAGGTACATTAACAACAAACTACCACAAGCATACATTAATAACGACCAGTAGGTACAGCAACAACAAACTACCACAAGCATACATTAATAACGACCAGTAGGTACAGCAACAACAAACTACCACAAGCATACATTAATAACGACCAGTAAGTACAGCAACAACAAACTACCACAAAACATACATTAATAACGACCAGTAAGTACAGCAACAACAAACTACCACAAGCATACATTAATAACGACCAGTAAGTACAGCAACAACAAACTACCACAAGCATACATTAATAACGACCAGTAAGTACAGCAACAACAAACTACCACAAGCATACATTAATAACGACCAGTAAGTACAGCAACAACAAACTACCACAAGCATACATTAATAACGACCAGTAAGTACAGCAACAACAAACTACCACAAGCATACATTAATAACGACCAGTAAGTACAGCAACAACAAACTACCACAAGCATACATTAATAACGACCAGTAAGTACAGCAACAACAAACTACCACAAGCATACATTAATAACCACCAGTAAGTACAGCAACAACAAACTACCACAAGCATACATTAATAACGACCAGTAGGTACATTAACAACAAACTACCACAAGCATACATTAATAACGACCAGTAGGTACAGCAACAACAAACTACCACAAGCATACATTAATAACGACCAGTAGGTACAGCAACAACAAACTACCACAAGCATACATTAATAACGACCAGTAAGTACAGCAACAACAAACTACCACAAACATACATTAATAACGACCAGTAGGTACAGCAACAACAAACTACCACAAGCATACATTAATAACGACCAGTAAGTACAGCAACAACAAACTACCACAAGCATACATTAATAACGACCAGTAAGTACAGCAACAACAAACTACCACAAGCATACATTAATAACGACCAGTAAGTACAGCAACAACAAACTACCACAAGCATACATTAATAACGACCAGTAAGTACAGCAACAACAAACTACCACAAGCATACATTAATAACGACCAGTAAGTACAGCAACAACAAACTACCACAAGCATACATTAATAACGACCAGTAAGTACAGCAAAAACAAGCTACCACAAGCATACATTAATAACGACCAGTAAGTACAGCAACAACAAACTACCACAAGCATACATTAATAACGACCAGTAAGTACAGCAACAACAAGCTACCACAAGCATACATTAATAACGACCAGTAGGTACAGCAACAACAAACTACCACAAGCATACATTAATAACGACCAGTAAGTACAGCAACAACAAACTACCACAAGCATACATTAATAACGACCAGTAAGTACAGCAACAACAAACTACCACAAGCATACATTAATAACGACCAGTAAGTACAGCAACAACAAGCTACCACAAGCATACATTAATAACGACCAGTAAGTACAGCAACAACAAGCTACCACAAGCATACATTAATAACGACCAGTAAGTACAGCAACAACAAACTACCACAAGCATACATTAATAACGACCAGTAAGTACAGCAACAACAAGCTACCACAAGCATACATTAATAACGACCAGTAAGTACAGCAACAACAAACTACCACAAGCATACATTAATAACGACCAGTAGGTACAGCAACAACAAACTACCACAAGGTAAAGCGCTGAATAACAGAGGCGCAAGAACCTGCTATCACAACATCAAGAACTTAACATCACAACATCAACGACTTAACATCACAACATCAACGACTTAACATCACAACATCAACGACTCAACATCACAACATCAACGACTCAACATCACAACATCAAGGACTTAACATCACAACATCAACGACTCAACATCACAACATCAATGACTTGACATCACAACATCAACGACTTAACTTCACAACATCAAGGACTCAGCATAACAACATCAACGACTTAACATCACAACATCAAGGACTCAACATCACAACATCAACGACTTAACACCACAACATCAACGACTTAATATCACAACATCAACGACTTAATATCACAACATCAACGACTTAACATCACAACATCAACGACTTAACATCACAACATCAACGACCTAATATCACAACATCAACGACTTAATATCACAACATCAACGACTTAACATCACAACATCAAGGACTCAACATCACAACATCAACGACTTAACATCACAACATCAACGACTTAATATCACAACATCAACGACTTAACATCACAACATCAACGACTTAACATCACAACATCAACGACTTAACATCACAACATCAACGACTCAACATCACAACATCAACGACTTAACATCACAACATCAACGACTTAACATTACAACAACTGACTACCAGTAAATCAACTACTGAAAACCAGACCAAGACTAATCACAATACATCGACAAAGGCCCACCTTAATATCAACTACTGATCACAGTACATAATTAACTGATCATCAACGACTGACCACAGTACATAATTAACTGATCATCAACGACTGACCACAGTACATAATTAACTGATCATCAACGACTGACCACAGTACATAATTAACTGATCATCAACGACTGACCACCACTTCATCAACATCTGACCACTAGTACATCAACGAGTGACCACAGTACATCAACAACTGACCACCAGTACATCACCGACTGACCATCAGTGCATCAACGACTGACCACCAGTACATCACTGACTGACCACCATTACATCAACGACTGACTACAGTACATCAACGACTGACCATCAGTACATCAACGACTGACCACCAGTACATTACCTACTGACCACCAGTACATCAACCACTGACCATCAGTACATCAACAACTGACCACCAGTACATCAACTTCTGACCACCAGTACACCAACGACTGACCACCAGCACATCAAAGATTGATAACCAGTACGGCAATGACTGGATACTAGTACAACGAACGAACGAACTTTATTTTCAATGGGTCACAAATTAGGCGCGCAGGCCCGTCTTCCATTCGGCATTTCCAATTCCCATCTTTCACACAGCATTTGTGTTTTATCAATAAAGCATGTTATGTTCATGTAATAATATGCATAATATTAATATCAAGTCAAAAACAAAAGCATGGGTGGTAAAACGCATGCGGACACACACACCTACATATACACTCAAACCCATTCACTCACTTACACATACATAGGCAACCAATACACACATACATACACATCCACATACATACAAACATGCACACACATACATACATGCGTGCGTACACATACATACATACATACATACATACATACATACATACATACATACATACATACATACATACATACATACATACATACATACATACATACATACATACATACATACATACATACATACATACATACATACATACATACATACATACATACATACATACATACATACATACATACATACATACATACATAACATACATACATACATACATACATACATACATACATACATACATACATACATACATACATACATACATACATACATACATACATACATACATACATACATACATACATACATACATACATACATACATACATACATACATACATACATACATACATACATACATACATACATACATACATACATACATACATACATACATACATACATACATACATACATACATACATACATACATACATACATACATACATACATACATACATACATACATACATACATACATACATACATACATACATACATACATACATACATACATACATACATACATACATACATACATACATACATACATACATACATACATACATACATACATACATACATACATACATACATACATACATACATACATACATACATACATACATACATACATACATACATACATACATACATACATACATACATACATACATACATACATACATACATACATACATACATACATACATACATACATACATACATACATACATACATACATACATACATACATACATACATACATACATACATACATACATACATACATACATACATACATACATACATACATACATACATACATACATACATACATACATACATACATACATACATACATACATACATACATACATACATACATACATACATACATACATACATACATACATACATATATATATATATATATATATATATATATATATATATATATATATATATATATATATATATATATATATATATATATATATATATATATATATATATATATATATATATATATATATATATATATATATATATATATATATATATATATATATATATATATATATATACATACACACATACATACACACATACACACACACATACACACACACTGATACACACAGACACCCATACAGTCATACACACACGTAGGCGCACAAAAAGACACCTTTAAACACACACACGGACGCACACAGGCATAAACCCACACAGACAGACACACACATACATACACACACACGCAGCCACAGGCACACACACAAACACATACACACACGCAAGCAAGGTAACACACAGGCACATACACACAGACACACACAGGGACATACGCAACACTCAGAGAGAACACTCAACACATACACAGATACACTCAACACCTACACAGATACAAACACAGACACGCACACAGTCACACGTGCAGAAACAAATACGCACACAGACATACACACAGATACATAAACCGACACACGCAGACATTATAGAATAGACACACCAATAGAGATACAGATACACATAAAGCTACACACAGCGACACACACAGATACACACACAGATACACATAAAGCCCCACATAGAGACACGCACGACTGACCACCTATACATCAACTTTCGTGTCCCAGAATCAAGATGCCTGTTATAGATGGGATCGCGGTAACTTCTCTGGATTTCACGCACTTAAGTCTGGGTCGACCTGAGAGCCAATGCCTATATCCGAATCCAAGACACTCTGACCCGTAGGCAAGCGTCTAGCTACTACACGACGGCTTGTCTACGTGGACAAATAGAGTCAATTAGAAGTACCTGAATTGCTGGTCCAGTAGTTGGATAGAAGTTCTGTTTCGAGGTTTCCCGCTGCTTAAATGGTTTCTTCCAAGCCGCGAACACGTACAGTGCGTTGGCGAGGACAATCTCTGCTCCACTTGAAAGGCTGCCTAAAATTGTGACCAGAGCAATACAGACAAGTATATTTTAATCAGTAATCTGGTATATATCCACGACCAGAGCAATACAGACAGGTATATTTTAATCAGTAATCTAGTATTTATCCACGACCAGAGCAATTCATACAAGACAATTTAATCAGAAATCTAAAATACTCACATGACCAGAGCAACTCAAAGACATTTTAATCAGTAATCTAGCATATGCACAAGACCGATGGTGAATGATAAGAATCGGTGTTATTTCTCTCGCTAATCCCCCAAAATAGACAGTCTATGTGTGCTCTGTACTGGGCAACAAGCTGCTACACAGAGGCAAAGGTTAGTTGTGTATCTTTTACAGCACGTTGCAGAAGCAGCCCTAGCAGGGAGCTCCAAGCGGTTGGCAGCTTCACTTGACCCCCACCTTGAAATATGATAACGATTTCCGTAAACCTGTTGAAGAAAGGTTGTTCTGTTACTGCAAGTTATTTTATACAGGTCTGTTTGCAGATTGCAGCATCAATCATATTATGGCTAGTGCTAAATAGGTCTCTCAATGAGCGTTTGATACCGAGTTGTGCCGAGAAGTAGAGACTGGACAAGTAGCACAAAGATCAACCTCCTGCTCTACATGCACATCAAGGAGAACTGGCTCGTCAACAGTAGCCTCTCCAGAGAGCTGTAGTATTTTTGACATGTCAAGTGCAAAAAAGGTTTGTACAGAACGGCGATGGAGGGGCGCCATGGTGGGCTGGAGAGAACTGTGATGGAGGGGCGCCATGGTGGGCTGCAGAGAACTGTGATTGAGGGGTGCCATGGTGGGCTGCAGAGAACTGTGATGGAGGGGCGCCATGGTGGGCTGGAGAGAACTGTGATGGAGGGGCGCCATGGTGGGCTGGAGAGAACTGTGATGGAGGGGCGCCATGGTGGGCTGCAGAGAACTGTGATGGAGGGGCGCCATGGTGGGCTGCAGAGAACTGTGATGGAGGGGCGCCATGATGGGCTCGAGAAAACTGTGATGGAGGGGAGTCATGGTGGGCTGGAGACAACTGTGATTGAGGGGCGCCATGGTGGGCTGGAGATAACAGTGTTAGAGGGGCGCCATGGTGGGCTGGAGAGAACTGTGATTGAGAGCGCCATGGTGGGCTGGAGAAAACTGTGATGGAGGGGAGTCATGGTGGGCTGGAGAAAACTGTGATTGAGGGGCGCCATGGTGGGCTGGAGAGAACAGTGATAGAGGGGCGCCATGGTGGGCTGGAGAGAACTGTGATTGAGGGGCGCCATGGTGGGCTGGAGAAAACTGTGATGGAGGGGAGTCATGGTGGGCTGGAGAAAACTGTGATTGAGGGGCGCCATGGTGGGCTGGAGAGAACAGTGATAGAGGGGCGCCATGGTGGGCTGGAGAGAACTGTGATTGAGGGGCGCCATGGTGGGCTGGAGAAAACTGTGATGGAGGGGAGTCATGGTGGGCTGGAGAAAACTGTGATGAAGGGGAGTCATGGTGGGCTGGAGAAAACTGTGATGGAGGGGCGCTATGGTGGGCTGCAGAGAACTGTGATTGAGGGGCGCAATGGTGGGCTGGAGAGAACTGTGATGGAGGGGCGCCATGGTGAGCTGGAGAGAACTGTCATTGATTTAATAATTGATTGACTGAATAATTGATTGATTGAATAATTGATTCATTAAATAACTGATAGACTGAAAAAATGACTGATTGAATAATTGTTTGAATAATATGTTGTTTGTCATATTCTTTAAAATTACACCTAAAGGGAAAACTATAAGGCAAGTAAGACGGACATCAACACAAGTAGGGAGAATAACAATCTCTTGGAGGTTAACATTTGAGAATAACATCAGGAAATGGTGGAACTGCAGTCTGGTGGAATCTATAAACAGGACAAGGCGGAGAGTTGTGGAGATCAGTTGCATATGAAATGAACTCTGAACCTGACGGACTCAGTATTTTTTTTTTTTAATATTGACACCATGTGACCAGTTAGTGTCTGTGATATCAGAGCAAACAGAACGTATAGTTTACCTGACGTGACAATATCTTTGATGTGACCACCTGTTTTGTTTTTGATGAAGTCGTTGATTTTCTGTTCAGTGGTCAGCGGGTCAGTCTGGTTGTGGGAGGACACCTGAGTCGAGTAGTACATCCGGGTGTTGTTAAGGAATTTCTGTGAGACGGATGCTCTTGAGTTGACAGAGATGTAACTGGCAATGAAAACCTTTCTCTCCGAGGTGTTTTCCTTTCTGTACTGTCGAAAATGGAAGTGTGAACGTTTATATCGTTACCTGCCAGATAACATTAAAAAAAAGTAACACTTGGGTAATATTTATCAACTTTGGCATGTGACTGCTTGCCTCTGATCTTTGGGTTAGGGTAGGTTTAGAAGGAAATAGTTAAACCGAGAGAAGGAAATATTAGCAACCAGTTTGGGGGTAGACGCTCACATACTGACCTGAAAGTCGTTGGTTAATATCCACATTTTGCAAGATCAAGTCCCTTCCTTTCCACCGATTTTTTTTAAACATGACCTAGGTTCCCAAGTTGACACAGCCTTAAATGAGTTCCAGGTACAGTCCTGGGAAGTAGAGGCGGCTTGCGTGATGTCGACCACTGGTAGATGAAAATTTGAGCCACGCCATCTATGCCGGATGAGCCATTGGCCTTTTAGTGATGGCTCTCTGTGCTGAATCAGGACCTAATTGTATTATAGTCCTTCTGCAGATGTGTGGTTCCAGTGCACCTCACACTGATAGATAAGCTTGCAGATGTGATCCCCCAGTGCACTTCACACTGATAGATAAGCTTGCAGCTGTAAGGTTCCAGTGCACTTCACACTGATAGATAAGCTTGCAGCTGTGAGGTTCCAGTGCACTTCACACTGATAGATAAACCTGCAGCTGTGAGGTTCCAGTGCACTTCACACTGATAGATAAACTTGCAGTTGTGAGGTTCCAGTGCACTTCACATTGATAGATAAACCTGCAGCTGTGAGGTTCCAGTGCACTTCACACTGATAGATAACCTTGCAGCTGTGAGGTTCCAGTGCACTTCACACTGATAGATAACCTTGCAGCTGTGAGGTTCCAGTGCACTTCACACTGACAGATAATCTTGCAGCTGTGAGGTTCCAGTGCACTTCAAACTGATAGATAGACTTGCAGAGGACAGGGGCAGCTTTGCAACATAACAGTAGATATGGTACCGTATTCATGGGTGCCTAGATAGACTTGCAGAGGACAGGGGCAGCTTTGCAACATAACAGTAGATATGGTACCGTATTCATGGGTGCCTAGGGAACAGTCTCTATACTAGTCCTCCGTTGATAGATGGAGGGAAACAGTCTCTATACCAGCCTGGCGTTGATAGATGCAGGGGAACAATCTCTATACTAGCCCGCCGTTGGTAAATGCACGGGAACAGTCTCTATACTAGCCTGCTGTTGGTAAATGCACGGGAACAGTCTTTATACTAGCCCGCCGTTGGCAAATGCACGGGAACAGTCTCTATACTAGCCCGCCGTTGGTAAATGCACGGGAACAGTCTCTATACTAGCCCGCCGTTGGTAAATGCACGGGAACAGTCTCTATACTAGCCCGCCGTTGGTAAATGCACAGGAACAGTCTCTATACTAGCCCGCGGTTGGTAAATGCACGGGGACAGTCTCTATACCAGCCTGGCGTTGATAGATGGAGGGGAACAGTTTCTATACCAGCCTGGCGTTAATAGATGGAGGGGAACAGTTTCTATACCAGCCTGGCGTTAATAGATGGAGGGGAACAGTTTCTATACCAGCCTGGCGTTAATAGATGGAGGGGAACAGTTTCTATACCAGCCTGGCGTTAATAGATGGAGGGGAACAGTTTCTATACCAGCCTGGCGTTAATAGATGGAGGGGAACAGTTTCTATACCAGCCTGGCGTTAATAGATGGAGGGGAACAGTTTCTATACCAGCCTGGCGTTAATAGATGGAGGGGAACAGTTTCTATACCAGCCTGGCGTTAATAGATAGATGGAGGGGGAACAGTTTCTATACCAGCCTGGCGTTAATAGATGGAGGGGAACAGTTTCTATACCAGCCTGGCGTTAATAGATGGAGGGGAACAGTTTCTATACCAGCCTGGCGTTAATAGATGGAGGGGAACAGTTTCTATACCAGCCTTCCTTTAATAGATGGAGGGTCTCTAACAGTTCCTTTATTAGATGGACCATACCAGCCTGGCGTTAATAGATGGAGGGGAACAGTTTCTATACCAGCCTGGCGTTAATAGATGGAGGGGAACAGTCTCTATACCAGCCTTCCTTTAATAGATGGAGGGGATCAGTGTCTATACCAGCCTGGCGTTGATAGATGCAGGGGAACAGTCTCTATACTTGCCCGCCGTTGGTAAATGCACGGGAACAGTCTCTATACCAGCCTGGCGTTAATAGATGGAGGGGAACAGTTTCTATACCAGCCTGGCGTTAATAGATGGAGGGGAACAGTTTCTATACCAGCCTTCCTTTAATAGATGGTGGGGATCAGTCTCTATACCAGCCTTCCTTTCATAGATGGAGGGGAACAGTTTCTATACCAGCCTGGCGTTGACAGATGGAGGGGAACAGTCTCTATACCAGCCTGGCGTTGATAGATGGAGGGGAACAGTTTCTATACCAGCCTGCCGTTGATAGATGGAGGGGAACAGTCTCTATACCAGCCTGGCGTTGATAGATGGAGGGGAACAGTTTCTATACCAGCCTGGCGTTAATAGATGGAGGGGAACAGTTTCTATACCAGCCTGGCGTTAATAGATGGAGGGGAACAGTTTCTATACCAGCCTGGCGTTAATAGATGGAGGGGAACAGTTTCTATACCAGCCTGGCGTTAATAGATGGAGGGGAACAGTTTCTATACCAGCCTGGCGTTAATAGATGGAGGGGAACAGTCTCTATACCAGCCTGGCGTTAATAGATGGAGGGGAACAGTTTCTATACCAGCCTGGCGTTAATAGATGGAGGGGAACAGTTTCTTTACCAGCCTGGCGTTAATAGATGGAGGGGAACAGTTTCTATACCAGCCTGCCGTTGATAGATGGAGGGGAACAGTTTCTATACCAGCCTGGCGTTGACAGATGGAGGGGATCAGTTTCTATACCAGCCTGGCGTTAGTAGATGGAGGGGAACAGTTTCTATACCAGCCTGCCGTTGATAGATGGAGGGGAACAGTCTCTATACCAGCCTGGCGTTGGTAGATGGAGGGGAACAGTTTCTATACCAGCCTGGCGTTGACAGATGGAGGGGAACAGTTTCTATACCAGCCTGCCGTTGGTAGATGGAGGGGAACAGTCTCTATACCAGCCTGCCGTTGATAGATTGAGGGGAACAGTTTCTATACCAGCCTGGCGTTGATAGATCGAGGGGAACAGTCTCTATACCAGCCTGGCGTTGATAGATGGAGGGGAACAGTTTCTATACCAGCCTGGCGTTGATAGATGGAGGGGAACAGTTTCTATACCAGCCTGGCGTTGATAGATGGAGGGGAACAGTTTCTATACCAGCCTGGCGTTGATAGATGGAGGGGAACAGTTTCTATACCAGCCTGGCGTTGATAGATGGAGGGGAACAGTTTCTATACCAGCCTGGCGTTGATAGATGGAGGGGAACAGTTTCTATACCAGCCTGGCGTTGATAGATCGAGGGGAACAGTTTCTATACCAGCCTGGCGTTGATAGATGGAGGGGAACAGTTTCTATACCAGCCCGGCGTTGATAGATGGAGGGGAACAGTTTCTATACCAGCCTGGCGTTGACAGATGGAGGGGAACAGTTTCTATACCAGCCTGCCGTTGACAGATGGAGGGGAACAGTTTCTATACCAGCCTGGCGTTGATAGATGGAGGGGAACAGTTTCTATACCAGCCTGGCGTTGATAGATGGAGGGGAACAGTTTCTATACCAGCCTGGCGTTGATAGATGGAGGGGAACAGTTTCTATACCAGCCTGCCGTTGACAGATGGAGGGGAACAGTTTCTATACCAGCCTGGCGTTGATAGATGGAGGGGAACAGTTTCTATACCAGCCTGGCGTTGACAGATGGAGGGGAACAGTTTCTATACCAGCCTGGCGTTGACAGATGGAGGGGAACAGTTTCTATACCAGCCTGGCGTTGATAGATGGAGGGGAACAGTTTCTATACCAGCCTGCCGTTGACAGATGGAGGGGAACAGTTTCTATACCAGCCTGGCGTTGATAGATGGAGGGGAACAGTTTCTATACCAGCCTGGCGTTGACAGATGGAGGGGAACAGTTTCTATACCAGCCTGGCGTTGATAAATGGAGGGGAACAGTTTCTATACCAGCCTGGCGTTGATAGATTGAGGGGAACAGTCTCTATACCAGCCTAGCGTTGATAGATCGAGGGGAACAGTTTCTATACCAGCCTGGCGTTGACAGATGGAGGGGAACAGTTTCTATACCAGCCTGGCGTTGATAGATGGAGGGGAACAGTTTCTATACCAGCCTGGCGTTGATAGATGGAGGGGAACAGTTTCTATACCAGCCTGGCGTTGATAGATGGAGGGGAACAGTTTCTATACCAGCCTGGCGTTGGTAGATGGAGGGGAACAGTTTCTATACCAGCCTGGCGTTGGTAGATGGAGGGGAACAGTTTCTATACCAGCCTGGCGTTGATAGATGGAGGGGAACAGTTTCTATACCAGCCTGGCGTTGATAGATGGAGGGGAACAGTTTCTATACCAGCCTGCTGTTGGTAGATGGAGGGGAACAGTCTCTATACCAGCCTGGCGTTGATAGATGGAGGGGAACAGTTTCTATACCAGCCCGGCGTTGATAGATGGAGGGGAACAGTTTCTATACCAGCCTGGCGTTGATAGATGGAGGGGAACAGTTTCTATACCAGCCCGGCGTTGATAGATGGAGGGGAACAGTCTCTATACCAGCCTGCTGTTGGTAGATGTCAGCCACTTTCCAGATGAAATCTGAAGCTTAGTGCATCGAAATCTGTGAATTAAAATGAGATCACAACCAGTCAAAGAAACAGACAGACATGTACCGTGGACAGTTAGACAACAGACTAGACACATGTGACATGTACCGTAGACAGTTAGACAACAGACTAGACACATGTGACGTGTACCGTGGACAGTTAGA